TGTTGTAAAGAGTTGTTTTCTGTCAATAGGACAGATTATAACATACCTGGGTGCTTACTCTTGAAACCAATCTCAATGTCAATGCAATTTCAATCCAATAAAATCTCAATAATTATCCAATTTCAAAACTATACAACCCCTATCGTAACTGCTAAAGTAGCATTTAGAGTACGGAATATAAAACCAAACTTAATACCATTTAGTTCATGAAATATCCACGCAATACGGATGCAAACGGCGCTAGTGTTACAACTCAAGAGTACGAAATTTCACAATACCAATGTCGATCGATCGGAATTGGACTCAAGAGTAAGCACCCTGGAGAAGTCTGTGTTAAGAATAATTATCTTTGTATTGCCCAACTTTTCCAATTTTGTGACTCATTTTTTTAGGAGATAAACCTACTCCCGTTTAGCAGGCACATAATTTTAGACTCCGTGCTACTTCTGAAAATGCCACTCTCTTCTAAGTCTAGTCTAGACTCTATAAATATCTTTAACAAAACACAACTAAGAAAGCAAGAATGAAAGAAAAATAATATAATTTATTCGTCACCAGGCATGAACCACTAAATATATTCATAAAAATAAGCATTGACAGTATGGCAAACCCTTACTTTTTTATGGTATAAGCCGGTAACCGAGGCAACGGGTCACCTGATGGTAAGCAATCGGCGTGGGCCATGGACACCCGGAACACCACAGCCGTTACCAAACCAGAGGGGTGATTGGGCCTCCGGTAACCTCAATCACACGACGAAACTATACCTCTAGGTTGCTTGTGGGACGACGTGCTCCATCGTAGACCGCATCATCGTTTACCACCAGGCGAGATAGTGGTCAAACGTCGCCCCATCAAATATATAAAAAACACAACACAAGCGTTGTTTCACGTCGGTTTTCTCATGTAAACTTATACAGTCTACAATAGCGTGAAGTCAACTTTAGTAAAACATAGTGTTGAGTATTGTATTATGTTTTGACTAACAAAATTCTATTTTCAGTACAGATGGAATATTAGATAGGGAAGTATTTGTGTACGGTTCATTGCGAGGGTTGAATTGTTATCTGTTCCACTCACTGATAGTGTGGGATACTTGATATTGTGGGGCGTTTATTTATTCGTGTAATGTCAGTAAAGTAACATCTTATAGTTTTCATATTGTTATTCTACTATACATTCTGGCAAGGATATACAGAAGCATGATATTATCTTTGCGTTACACCTACGCCCAGAATTGGAAACATCATTCTAGGTGATATTTGGTTTGTGATCATCAAACCAACGAATAAATCGGTTTACTAGATCACTTCCAATGTGTTGACAAGCGATCAAAGTAAATTATAAATAACACAGCTAACATGAATCGATTATTATTACTTTTCTTACCACTATAAAAAAGCAAGGCATAACATAACATAACATAACATCACGCCTTTTATCCCCGAAGGGGTAGGCAGAGGTGCACAATATGGCACTTAATGCCGCTGTACAATG